GTAACCACTAAAAATTCACTTGCCAATGTTTGATCAATTTGTTCCATTGCAGGTTTCAATACAATAAATAAATATTGAATAATAAATATACTAATATTTGCCGCATATATTTACTCACCGTACAATGTCAAATACATAATAATAAAATCTTATATTTTGTATATAAGAACAGATTTTTTTTTATAGAAAATATTACTAAGAGGTAATTTTTTTAATATCCCTTATTATGAATTTAAATTTTGACTAATTAATAACTATTTTCGATGAATAACACTTAAAAATAATATTTTGGAGCAATAAAAAATAACAATAAAATAAATTATATAAGCCTAAATAAAAATATAACAAAAAAAGCAATAAAAATATAACTTTTTTAATTTTTCATATTAAATCATAAAATGTTCACTTATTTATGATATAAAATGATCTGTAATAAAAATATTCAGTCACTTATCAATTTTATGAATGCAATTATGAAATATATATATATTTTATTTAAATAAATGAATATGAAATTTATTCTAATACTGAAAACCGTAGCGATTTAAATTAAAAATATGTTTTTTTTTTAATTTTATAGTTCTAGTTTCGCATTTTTACTCGTATAGTGAAACATATTCAAAAATATACATAATATGTATACACAAGTTTTATAGATGATGTAGCAGACGCGAAATCCGGGACTTCTCATCGTCACTCGTTATGCGAAACGTCGCTCGTTAAGCGAGTCATATTTCTTGCAATTCATTTTGCTGGTTAAGCGAAATGTTCATTATGCGAGGTGCTCGTTAAGTGAGGTTCCACTGTATATGAAACCGGTTTTCGAATTAAACTAAAATGATTCTCTGTATTTAATTTAACTACAGTTTGTTAAAATCATTAAATAGCTATTATAAATTAGGATACACTTAATATCACATGTAAAATTCCAATGAAAGAAATTTGTCAACAAGAAAACTATGCTAAACTGCGTTAAAATAAAGCATTGCATTGCACCAAATATAGAATCAGACTTAGAGATTTTGTAAGAAATTACTCAACTGCAACATGCATACGATGCGTATACATGATCAATTCTAGTTAAGGTAAACATGTTCCATGTTATGTCAAACAAATCTCTAGAAAACATCTAACCTTGCTTAGCCGTCTGCATATTTGCTTTCACAAATCGTCTAATTATGAAGGTGATTTTTCTTGCGCACACAGCGCTCTCACAATAATGCATGACAATAATTTCCAGTTGCATTTACTGCCCCTAGAGCAAAGTCTACAATTAAAGTAATGGACATTTGCATAATTCAGGTGCAGGTGGACTGACCGTTTTGTCTCTGTACATTTAAAGAAATGTGCCTGTGAGATAGTTTATACCTCTACACCCTCACTTCCTGTAACTTATTCTCCAGACGTCGGTCACACGAAAAAAGGCAAACAGAAATATACCTAAAGCTAAAATATTTTCACAGAATGGGGACCGAAACGTGACATGGATCAGGTAGAATAAATACGTGCCGTGTCACTAACGTGTTTTCCAATTTCGTTTAATCTCAAAGGTTGTAGCGATAATATAACATTCCCGAAATTCCCAGACTTCCTAAATCTGTAATGTAATTTTATCTTAAATAATTATTGTTTTAAAATTATATACAGTGGAACCACGCTTATAAATAAATATATTTTAGTTAAAACTTTAAGTGTACATTAAATTTTAAATAAATTTATATAAATTGCTTCTAGGAAATACCAATGAATAGTTTTCAATTTGGAGAAAATCAATTTAAATTTAACTGGGTCAAATTGATGAAGAAATATTAGAAATAACACAAAAATATAGACTTATTTTATTGGTCAATGTGAAATTAAATTCGTTGGAATCAATTGCTCAATATCTTATTTTTCTAAGATATGATTTACATATATATTTTCGTTACAAAATATGTCACGTATGTGCTCCAGGGACATAAAACTTGAAAATTAATCAGATACAGTTATTTCAAATGTTTATGTGTAACATCTGAAAGAAGTAAATATTATTAGTTTTTATTAGAAATAGTTTTTTTATATAGTACAATAAAAAATATTTATTTGAGATATTATTTACAATATTTGAAATTTGCATGGAAACTGCTAATGCATTCAGTAAATTGTATTGTTTTTCAGGCGATTCTAATTATAGTTGTAATAACGGGATACGCATGCGAGATGCATTAGATTAATTGATCTCTTAAGTAATATTAATTGTTAGTTTATTAATGACCTAGTTGAGAGAACGATCGCTGCACTTACTTCTTCTCATGGATATAGGAGTTTTGATATGATGAGACGTAATCTAGATGTTCAAGAATTGGTGAAATTTGCATGTGCAATTGAGACACGTGGGTTACAAATAATTGAACGTGGAAAAACGAAAAACAAGTACCGTGGAAATGGACCATATGGTAGCGCCCACTGTGCGCCCCAACACCGCGTTACGTAATTCACGTGTTTGGTGGCAGAGTGAGCCACGAAGTTTAAGAAAGGAATAATACTGTATGGGATATTCTGCTGCTGCTGCAAAGGGCACAGGTACCCATTGCATTTTACTTACAGCAACCGGTCACGGCTTTGCTGTTGCTAAGTGGTCGCAACAAGGCATTCCTCCGATATTCAAGACCTGTTGTGCGGCTGTACTCTCGCGACGACGTGTCACGTCTTGCGCCATCCTTTTGTTTGGCCATCGAGCCGCTTCTTCCATGGCCACGTTGGACACAAATATTTGAACTCTACTCTAAAGAAATAAATGTATATTATATATATCTTTATATAAAAGATGAAATAAAACGTAACTTTTCAAATACAAATATTACTTTGTTTAATAATATGAAACTTTCGAGATAATCAAATATTATTTAAATTATTTTAATTAAAATTCTCCTCAGAATAACTGAGTTCTAAATTGTCAACAGCGCCTAGATTTGATAAATGTATGGAATGTAACAGGTTGATGACCCATCTATTCTCAATAGATGAACAAACGTTTCACAATGTCTAACAACAATATTTTATGTTTTATTTTATTAATTGTTTATAAAATACTAAATGAACTAGTTTTTTTAAATTATAAATATAGAATAATTATATTAATTTCTTTAAAATAAATAAAAATTGGGACATTTCAAATTACATTTAAAAAAATATTTCTTGATCATATTTCAAGATTTCCTTAGTTTATTGTCTATATAATTACAAAATTAATTTTGTTATATATATGAACATGTACAAATTTTCCACATTTAAAAACATATAAATTAATAGATTTTAGAAAAATATTAAAATTTTAGCATTTTTTATAAGTAAATTGAATGAAAAAGTAATTGAAAAATAATGGAGAAATTAATTTTAGGAATTAACGATACTGAATAATGGTTACATAGAAGAGAAATTTTCTACTTTCATTATGAATGTGAATTTAAATATTTTTAAATTTCAATGAAAATAGTAAATAAAGCAAATTTGATTGCGTATTATCCTTGATTATGTAATAAATATACTAATTTTTAAAACTATAAAGGTAATTTATAGGCAATAACTAAATGTAAATATTGCAAAATACTATAACTGTACATAAAATAATTTCAAACAAATGTGATTTAATGATTGGCAAATAGTAGATAGTGAGATGTTGTATTTGCTGCTAGCAAATAACCATTCACGGAAGTCTTTCAGCCTTTCTAATGTTCATATGAAAATATTTTTCTATTTTTAGGGAAAACCAACTTTGGTTTAGAATTTACATATTTAGTAAATGGTAATTCCTTGTGCATACGAATAAATATTTCGTAGTCTCGTCATTTTTTTAGGAACTGCACTGTTATAATCAAAATAAATAATATGCGCATGTTAACATCATTTATTGTATATATAATGAACGTTTATATAAACTACTATATTGCCTTTTATGATTTACAATTGACCGTTTAACATGATTTTGATGAACATAGAAACCTTCGTATAATAAGAACTCGTATATTCAATGTACAATTGAGTGTTCCATTCCAAAACCTAACAAAATAAACAAAAAATTACAGTTTTTACTGACTGTTGCAATATTTAAAAGATTGAAACCATTTTATTTAATTTTTACATTATAAGGAAGGATTTTTCACATTTTGAAATTAAATGAATATTCATAATATTTACATATAATAACGTACACTAGAGTTTATAAAAAAAACGACTTAAAAAAAACAGTTTTCGAATCTCAACTTTTATACAAAACCGGTTTTCGAATTTTTCCAAAAAAATACAGAGAAAAGGGATTTTTACAACTTATTTTCTAGTGCTCACACGATCGATTGCATATACACAATTTATTTAGAGCATTAAATAATGAACCAAATAATTCGTTCTTCTCTTTGTACCTTCTTAATTCACATGTTCAGGTTCTTGAAGATATTTATGAATTGATTTTTTCAAAGCAAGCTATGATTTGTTTTTCTTATTCGCAACAGTCTTGATATTATTTATCCAAAAATTTAATGAAGCTAGTGAAAGAAATAAGCTAGATGTGTTTGTCTAAATATCTGTTCATTTTGTAAATTAACTAACGTACACATTCTTTTATAATTCATCAGTATCATTTATTAATTGTTTTAAAATATAATCTTATTAGGAAGTAATTATACTATAATCTAATAATAGAGCTGTAGGAAAATTATACAATATTATTAAACTATATATATTCTACTAGATTGAACTTCGGTTTTTCAAATGATATCGAACTTCTAACCAGCTAAATCGATTGCTTAATTACTACTGCACATTGCAAATTTTAAGATTAAGGCAACTTGATATTTTTATTTAATTATTTATTTAGTGACATAATATTTATTTATGCACTTTTAATTTAGACATACTTACATTTTGTTTATAAACTATTAATATACTAGATAATCATAAAATCAATAGATCGTTGATAATTACTAAATTGATAAAGTATATTTTGTATAAAATTATGTATCACATATTAATATTTAGGTGAAATGGTCATTACTTCCTAAATGATTTTGTTTATTATTTATTTTCTATGAAAGTGGTTTTTATTATTACATGATTAATATTGCTTTTTGTTCATGGTACCAAAGCTGTCGTCGTCGATATATCTAAGTTTGTTGTCCTTATAATCTTCGCTGTCCAAAGAATTTTCTTCGTCCAGCAAATTCGGAATCAATTCCATTTCTTCCCATTCTTTCGCAAGTTGGGAGATGAAAGTCTTAAACACCAGCGGATTCATGTTCTTGGATACGTAAGTTAGGAAGAGCCAATCTAAATAATCCGATCTTTTCGCTGCTTTCACGATTCTCCAGGGGTTCATCTCCTTGGAATACTCCATCGAATAAATGAGTGCATTCAATTGTCGACTTCTTCCAAACAAAGCAGTCACAGCACGCCAAATCAATGCACATACAGAAACTATCAGGATTATTAAGAACCAGAACCATAGAAACGAGTAGATTTTCTCGTTGATTATGTTCAGTGCCAAAACGCACATGGCGTCATGTGACTGAATCGTTCCAGACGCACCGTACTTATGGAACGTGCATTTAGTCATCTGAAGATTAAAATTATTCATTAGTATATAAAAAATAAAATACTGGAAATAATTACTTTCGGAAATACTTTGTCCAGAATGAAAGTATCGGAATTATTATCAAAATGTTCTTTTATTAGCTTTGGACCTAATGATAGGAAGGCGCCATCAAGAAACCAATTAGTTAATATTATTTGCAGAATGATGTTAAATAAATTCAAGAATTCGCAAATTATCAACCATTTGCTCCAATCCTTGTTAACTATCAGACGCTTACTAAACGCCAGATTTAAATCACGGAATTTCTGATTGCTAAAACAAATAGATATTTATTTTTTGTATAAATATATTTATGTAATTTCTTTTACATTTCGGACTTTGTTGGTGTTCTAAATTTTCCTATATTTAAATTTTTGTCTGTAGCATAGGCAGCAAGTTCCAAACCTGCCACCAGATTCTTCAATCTTCCACCTTAAAAATATAATTATAACATTCATAATATTGTTTTTTAATAAAACCAAGTTTACCTTCTTTCAATTTCCAAATCATATGAGGAATGTAAAAAGTAAGTGCTTGAAAACTAAGGACGTATGGGACCCATTGGTAATAAGCATGCAGTTGAATCGGTTCATCTGAATTAACTCCAGTTGAACCAACACCCGGATGCGCTATATCGTGTTGATTCAACATAGATTTATTCATATATTTAACCTAAAAATCACCGCACGAAATTAGAAAAAAAAATAATTTAGAAAAAATACAAAACTTACAACAGTGAAGGTTGTCGTGAAAAAGCAGAAAGTGTTTATCACTCTATTATCAACACCATTTCCGCTGAGGCACTGAATATGATTGCCAATCAATTCTGTAGACACCAAAACTGTTAAAACTATCATAAACCACATCGTGAATCTGTAATGCAATTGAAACGCAACATTGTCGATTGTATGTTTATTTAATCGAATTTTTACATTCGCCGAGAGGGTATTCACGATTCGCAACATCTAAAAATCAATATATCAAAGATACTTTTCTTTTTCTATTTAAAAATTCTTACTTTTTTTTTCTGGAGGCCAGCGACCAATCCTCCACACGAGATAAATATAAAACAATATAAAAATATAACAAAAAAATTCAGACAAAATCTACTACTCTCGATTTCGTATCTCCCTTATCTTATCATTTTTTTTTAGTATAATTGTAGTCCGTATTACTAACCTATTTGATTATCAAGCATCAAAAGAAAATTGGATTTAAAGGATTTATAATCAAACACGTTCATAGAATTCGTATTTTTTTATTAAAAACATAACAAATGATTAAATAGTTATAATTAAAATTTATTTGAATATCTCATCGATCTTATCGATGCTACCGAAGTTTTGTTCATTGAAATAATTCGGTTTCAACGAATCCATTCCCTTCTCGTAGGATTCTGCCGAAATTGTATTGTCGTCGATCTGACTCAAATTCTTAGCAAGTTGAACTATGAATATTTTAAATACAAGAGGATCCATATTCTTTGAAATATATCCAAGGAATAGCCAATCTAAATAATCACATTTGTTGGTCACCTCCAATACTTTCCAAGGATTCGATTTTCCGGGTGTAATAGTGCTGTATATGATCTGGTTAAAACGCCGGTTCTTTCCGTGAAATACAGCCGTTACTAATCTCCAAAGTAAAGCAAAAGCAGAGACGACCAGAAGGAACATGAACCAAAACCATAAAAACGTGAATATCTTTTCGTTAATTATATTTAAAGCCATAACGCACAGTGCGTCGTGAGCTTGTATTGTGCCAGATGCACCATATTTGTAAAAATTACATTTGGTCATCTGAAAAACATTGAATAAAAAATATTTGTAAATACAAATGCATAGATAATACTTTCGGAAAAACTTGATCCAAAATCCAGACTTCATCCATTCCCACTTCGATAACTTTCGGACCCAAACTTAGGAATTTACCACCCAAGAAAACATCGGTTAACCAAATTTGTAAAATTACGTTGATTAGATTGAGAACTTCGCATGTTATTAACCAGGTAGCCCAAGATTTGTTAACAATCAAGCGATCTTTAAACATAATATTGAGTTCTTCAAACTTCTTCTTGCTATAAAATATTAAATCTATATAGAAAATTTTAAAACAATATTGACAACTTACATATCAGTCTTTGTAGGCAATTCATATTTATCTAATTTTATTTTATTGTCTACGGCGCAAACAGCGAATTCCAAGCCGTTAACTAACTTTTTAATACGACCAGCTGTAATTAAAATTTGATCATATAATCAGTAAAATTAAGTTTTTTATATTATGTTAACCTTCTTTTCGTTTCCATATTAAATGCGGAATATAAAATGTGATAGCTTGCAAGAAGAGAACGAATGGAACCCATTGGTAATAAGCATGGTGTATTATTGGTTCATCTGAGTTTACACCCATTGAACCGACGCCGGGATGCGGAATGTAATGAGAATCCGTGAAAGAGGTATTTAAATATTTAATCTACGGATATTTTTGTTAATATTAACCAAATTAAATATGACTAATATTACTCACCACGGTGAATGTTGTAGTGAAGAAACAAAATGTATTGATTACTCTTTCGTTTACTCCAGATCCTACAAGACATTTAATATGCTCGCCAATAAGTTCCTGGGATGTTACCAATACCGTTAATATAAACAATAACAGCATGGTGACTCTATAATGCAATTTGAATGCCAAATTATCAATGTGGTTTCTTTTAACCTTTAATTTTATATTTTTAGTAACCGTATCCACGATGGCCTTCATCTAAATAAAGTTTTGCTTCAAATAGTTTATAAAATTACAAGTAAAAAGACTCACCTTTGAAATGATATAAGTAACGTAAACATAGAAACTATAAACTTTAGCGTGCGAATAGCTAAATGCAACTAATTTGTAATCTGGATGCACACCTTATCTAATGACTACTCGATAAGAGGCATATATACATAAACGCTGCTTTTAAATATGGGTGATAGAAATAATCATAACATAACTAGTTATTTAAATGTTAAAATAGTGTTTTTAGGTTATCAATTTTGACCCAATGTTCAGTCTGTGTTTCCATGTATCAGTATAATCAAGACTCTTAACTAGTTCAATTATTTAAGTAAATTAGTATCTATAAGCCTATAGTTATGGGCTTGTACTTATTATATATTTGATTATAAACATTTCAAAATTGAAGGTTGTCGCATTCTTTGGGCACCAGACCTCATGCATCACCATCTCTGTTCATTAAAACTTAATATATATTATTCAATCTCAATTCTAATATTTTTAGATAAACCCCAATAATTCTCATAGGATCTAAAAAAAATCTAGGTCTTATGTATTATGTCATAAGTACAGTACCCAATGGACAAGATTGCTCTTTTAATCAGAAGAAAAAGTATATAAAACAACCGAATAAACTAAAAGATCTGAGGATGATCTTACAGCAAAATATACTAATATTATCATTAAACAAATTTATTTTCAAGACGAATGTTAATCTCAAAAATATATGTATATACGCACAGCGAATCTTTAAACCGTATTATTACCATCTGTATTTTGTATGTAAATAAAAAATATTACTGACAAATTATGACTTAATTTTGCTTTATATTAATAAATCCTTGTTTTCTACCACGAATTACAGTGTAATCTCGCGTAACGAGCATAATTCTTGAAATACTCGTTAAGCGAATCATTTTTGTTACAATATTTTGCTCGTTATGTGAATTATTCGGTATGAAAGTGATTATTAAGTGAAATCCACTGTACACTAAAAAAAAATGCGTGTTTTATTGTTATAATGGATACATTTAAAATCTTCAATTGAATATAACTTAAAATTTACAAACCTGTTTTAAATAAATATAAAAGTAGGGACTTGAAAACTAGATATAAACATGAAGAATAATTAAAATTTATACATGACGAGCATTTCGCATAACGATTGACAAGAAGTCCCGGATTTCGCGTCTGCTACATCATTTATAAAACTTGTGTATTTTTGAATATATTTCACTACACAAGTAAAATCAAATCCGGAGTTTGTGGAACGGATTAAACTCATTAAGCGAGGTTCCACTGTATTTAGTATGAGCAAGATTTAATGATGCATATTTTCTAAGATACATATACTGATTGGAGTGAAGCTTCACTAATAAATGTAACAATTTAAAATCGTTTGCGAGGGCTGCAGGAGGCGTGAGAATCGAAACCGCAGAGTCCGGTTCGAGAGATCGGACAATGGGGATGACTCAACAGATCAGCTCCCCGATTGATCGAACAGCATTCTTGCATCTTCATAATATATATTATAGTGTACCCGTGCCCGAAGACTCTGCTATACATATAATATTAAACTCTTCTACATTTTGTTCCTTTTATAACTGCGAGAACGGTAATAATTACAAAGGCCCCATCAATTTTTGCTGGAAGAAATTCATTAAATCATAAATGCTCCGATGCACCAATGCGAATTGAAGATCAAACGAAACCAACATCAAAGAGTATATCTTAATTCCCTATATTGTTGTCTAGAATTAATACACAACAAGAACTCATATGTTTATTTATTTTTTTTTTCATATTTCTATATTAAATTACCATCATTTCTTATTATATAAAAAATAATTTACAAATGTATAAATATTATCATAAAAATAAATAATTAATAAATATGGGAAAACATGTTTATTAAAAAAAAAGGTACTTGAATTACACGGAGTTTCAAATCATAGTGACAAAAAATAATCTTCGTGTAATACGATATTTGCACTGCTTATTTAAAGTATACTTTTTCACAATTTTTAAAATAAAAATCAGGATCCAAATATAGTTCTTTTATTAATTATTTGCGGCCTAGGTGCTAAAGAATCATTGATTCTATATGTCGGTTCACGTTACACGTCACTGCGTGCGGTTCTCAAAATATTTGTTTAACAGAAAAAATGGCTCTTCACTTCAAAAAGGTTGCCGACCCTTGCTCTAAACTAACAAGGTTTTGAATAGCATGAAACCACTGTTAATTTTGTCATAAGAATACAAGATTTTTTATATTTACAAAATTTACAAATTGTATTTCTTATATTATATTTATATATGACTAGTATTCCAATAGTAAATCGGGGTCGGATTTGAAAGGTTTGATTCAAAGGAGGCCGAGTTGAATCAGGATTTCAGACAAATCACCAAAACGAGAACGCTCTTGTCAATAAAACTATTTCAATTGTAGCTTCTATTATAAATATTATTTGGTTAACTAGAAATAACTATTGACTAATTAATATGAATTTGATATTTTTAAAGCATAATATGTAGGAAAATTACATATCTCATAGACACTTAAAGAGAATGTGAATCATACATGTAAAACGAATAAGTTGCAACTTTAATATTTACTTGATGATTACTGAATTATTTTTCTTAGCTTTCTAGATAAGAATATTTCTCACTGATTAAAATAAGAAACATAAGTGACATTCATAACAGCTTAATTATAATTATATATAATATAATAACAAATATTTTTGATGTCACATTTTCAATGACTTCAATTTGTTTTATGGAATGGCTAACTTTTAACAAATAATTTACTTATATCTATATAAAAATCAAATTGTTATATATAGTTTCCAAAATGAAAGTTCTTTCCTTTTTTAGTTAAGTTTGCATCTTTTGTATCTTATGAACAGCATCAAATCATATAATAAATGATACATTTGCCGTAATCAACAAATAATAATCAATTGCAGAACTTATACATATACTTAATAAGAAGATACAACATAAAACAAATTTATTTATTGGAACTAAATGTATTATTTCATATTAATATTTTGCCTTAAAAATTAGAATAAATTTATAAAATTGAAAAATGTAGTAAAAATGTAATATAATACAAACGGAAGTATGATATAATTCATAGAATATCACAGTAGATTAACAACATCCATATCGTACCATGAAAGAGAAATTCTCATAATTTGTCTTTTAGAAATATCCGATATCAAAACCGGAAGTTATATTTGTAGCTCTACGTTTACTACATTTGTAGGAACGCAAGGTGTAAGTTGTCACCAAATACATCAGATCCGATTTAAACGTAATTATATACATCATATGTTTATTTTATGCTTTCGAGGCAGCACTAACAGTATTATTTTAATATTTATAGAATGTACTTATAATGTACTAAACATTATCAAGAACTTAAATAAATTTTATATTTTAGATATTGCGATGCCTAAATAATCAACCTTTGAAAGGTAGTATATACCTGACAGAACTAAGATGAAAGGGTTAAAACAGGTATTTTACTTCGAAATACATTTGTTCACTAAATGATTAATTACCAGAAAGAATAATTATTAATCGATAATCTTTATTTTTTTTTAAATAACTACTAGCAAATATTTGTTTATATCATGTATTTATATTTTAAAGTTTTCAATTAAACAATTGATGCGAGTTACGTTACGTTTTCTTCATCTACGCAGATGAAGAAAACGTGTTTCATACTATGAATGGCATAAATATGGTAAAAAAATATAGCAAAATCTTCCAATATTCCATAAAAACGTTTTCATTGGAATATGTATTTATTACTCAGTAAAAAAAGTGAATTGTAAAAAAATGTTTTAGAGAAAACCGTGTACAATAGTGTTCCGAATATATACGATGATAAAAATTAAAAAACGATAATAAATGTTTATATTTACAGCGTTTTTTTTTCTTTTCACAAAATCAAAACATATTTTTCAAAGGCGGTAAGATCAAAGGTATATTTTATGCTTTTATACATAATTGGTTTAATAATTCAAAACTATCATTTTTTAATTTGAAATTATTTAAATAAAATCTATAATATTATCTTAAACTATATTACAGCAATATTGTATAAAATTGACTTATTTATTTAATTTTTTATATTTTGTCCTCGACAAACATTTTAAACTTTTTTCATTTAACGACAGTACAATTTAGAAAATATAAATTTTTTATACAGAATATGAAACATTTTCTATTTACAAATATATATTTTTTATATTCTAATTTTACATAATGAAAGTTATTATTTTCTTTTTGTATCAAAATCATTAAGGAATATACAATTTACAATGTGTTCTTGGTGCAGGTCCAAAATTGAGAAAAAGTAGGAGATGATTATATTGTGAATAGCGTGGAAATGAAAGGAAGTTGTATTATATAAGTAAAATAAATATTATTTTATACAGATGAATTGAAATACCGAACTATTATTGACACTATATGTAGTACAGTGGAACCTCGCTTAACGAGTTTAATCCGTTCCAAAATTTCCAGATTTTTACTTGTATAGTAAAATACTCGTATAGTGAAGCATATTCAAAAATATACATAAAATGAGTACACATAAAGTTAGTGTTTTTAATAACAATAATTAATAAGAATAATAATTTATTGCATATATGTAGTTAACCTTTTTTGTTTTATTATTTAAAGATTGATTTTTTTTTAAATATATGTTTAAATAACTTTTATTTATTTTGAATAATTTATTAATTAATCGTTTTACCATGTAAACATTCCTGTTTAATATATTTTGTGTTATTTAAACAAACATTATATTTTTTCGGAAAATATTGAAAGTTGCTTTCAAGAATTGCTGAAAATTCATGTTAAAGTATTTTTCTGTTATTTGGAAATAAGGAAAAGAATTGTCGTTAAAAAAAAGAAGTTTGGTAACTTTTCGGAGAAACAGGATGAAGGAGAAACGTTTAAAATGATTCGAAACTACTTTCCGTGTGCATCTATTGTCTGACAGAAGAGTGGAAGAGTGGTGGGAGGCAGCTATCCCCTTCTACAAAAAAACTCAAAGCTCCCCTCCAAACGTATCGTGCATTCTAGCGGAGGATCGCTAGTAGCTTCCAGCGCACAGTTAAATACACACTACTAGAAATTGAATCCGTACAACACTACTAATTAGCGCGTGTATAATTAATACATAAGCAAGAGAGGACAGGACGGGCGAAAAGGTGCATCATTTTGTGAGAAGGTGTGCGTGAGTGTGCCAGAGAGTAGTGATTAAGTGTTGAAGAAGAGGCCAACAACATGTTTGATGTGTTTGGCTCCGTTAAGGGGCTGCTGAAAATCGATGCAGTCTGCATCGACAACAATGTGTTTCGTCTGCATTACAAGGCGACCGTTGTAATCCTGATTGCCTTCTCGTTGCTGGTCACAAGCAGGCAATACATTGGCGACCCCATCGACTGCATAGTTGACGAGATTCCTCTGGGAATCATGGACACCTATTGCTGGATCTATTCGACTTACACAATACCGAACAGGCTAACAGGAAGAGTTGGCCACGACATCGTGCAGCCGGGCGTTGCGAGTCATGTGGACGGCAAGGACGACGTCAAATATCATAAGTACTACCAGTGGGTTTGTTTTGCTCTATTCTTCCAAGCCATGCTCTTCTACGTGCCGAGATACCTGTGGAAGACTTGGGAAGGCGGCAGAATCCGCATGCTCGTCCTCGACCTTAACTTTCCCATCGTCAGCGACGAATTAAAAACGGACAGGAAGAAGTTATTAGTGGATTACTTTTCCACTAATTTGCACATGCAGAATTTCTACGCGTACCGCTTCTTCATATGCGAAGTTCTTAATTTCATTAACGTCGTAGGGCAGATCTTCTTCATGGACTTCTTCCTCGATGGAGAGTTCAGCACATACGGCAGAGACGTGCTGGCATTCACAGAAATGGAACCCGAGGAACGCGAGGATCCGATGTCAAGAGTGTTTCCAAAAGTAACGAAATGCACCTTCCACAAATACGGTCCATCCGGTTCGGTTCAGAAGTTCGACGGTCTCTGCGTTTTGCCATTGAACATCGTCAACGAGAAAATCTACGTTTTCCTCTGGTTCTGGTTCATCATGTTGAGCGTCCTCTCAGGCATCTCTCTGATCTACCGTCTGGCCGTTATCATGGGCCCGAAACTCCGTTTGTACCTTTTGCGCGCCAGATCCCGCATGGCCGACAACGAATACATTGTAAAAATTGCGAACAATTGTCACATTGGCGACTGGTTCGTTCTTTACCAGCTCGGAAAGAACATCGACCCTCTGATCTATAAAGAAGTTATAGAAGAACTAGCCATGAAGTTAGAGGGAAAGGAAGAACCCTAGGGTAATTTTCCACTTCGAAATCTAAATTTAATAACATTTCGAGACAATAATGCACCGTGTTTTCACGTGCCTTTACGAACATTTTCGAATGCAGCGGAAACTAATATTGAGCGTAAACCATCCTATATAAATATACACAACATATCGATCTACCTGCATAATTAAAGCGCTACGACAACAACAACAATTAAGACCCACAATTCATTCCACAGCTATAGGGACCAATTTACAATTGTTCTGTGATGACAGATAAAGACTGTTGTTTTTTATTAATAATAATATATATAAAAAGAAAATAAATTGTTAGGAATTTAGGTCGTGACGTTCAATCAACACGGACTGAAATTCGCTTATTTTCTGCTACTCAAGAATACTTCCATTACTATAATCATTTTATATATATTTAAATGATGAAAAGCTCAAAAAAACTGTCACTCATTCCAAAAAAAAAAACAACATTGTTCTTCTTTCTACTCGCATACATTATCGTTTATTATTATTATTTTTCGTGTATCCTTTTCAGTAGCGTAATTCTTGAAACTGCCAAAACTGCATTAGCAATAGTTTGTTATGTTAATATTATTTGTTCGTCATTTAATTTAAACGAAGCACAACTGTGGATATTTAAATACTATTAGATTTTTATTTTAATTTTCCGCTAACTTTCAGAGACTCCGGAAGGCGCGGGTGCGACAAAATGATGGCATTTTTTTATAGGGGGTGGAAAGTACAAACAAAAACAAAACATTTTTCTTTTTAATTTTAGTTTAATACTTTTTAATTTTTGCAATAAGGAAAAGTGTTTCTTGTTTTGTCGCATCATCGAAATACGGGATTGAAACAAGTCTCTGTGATAAATATATGAAAATGCATTGCTCCCTTTTTTTTTCATTTATATTATTATTATTATTACATTTAGTTTGTAATTATTATTATAATTATATATACATATATGTGATGAATAGGAATTAATTAGACTAAGTTCCATACAGTGTATTTTTCTTTTCAAGTTTGAGTGCTTTTATATTTTTGATCCATTTTGTATTTTATTTTTTTGTCACGTTGTTGTTATATACAAATATTATATCATCGAAGAATAATAGAAAATGTATACCGATGTGCCTTATTATACATTTTGTATGGAATTTTATATACATAGATATATATAAGAATAAATTAAGCTATTTTAAATTTTGTACTATTATTGTTTCCTTAATCCTGAACCCTTAAGCAGTAAATAAAATAACCTTGTAGTTTATATGCTAGAGACGTGTAATTTAAGTAGAATTAAATACTTCATTTCTTTAAATGAACAGCAAAGATAAGTTTGTTCTGGATTACTGAGTTTCTCTAACTTTGTTTATCTCGGTGTTATCAATTTATTCCACGGCCACCAAAGTTCAAATTTTTAGTTTTTTTTTACATTGAACGTATTTCTAGAACATATTATAGTTACACTTTCAGTAAATTCAATTACCGATGCAACATTGTGATAAGATAAGAGATTTTGATAATTATTAACTTGACTTATGTTATAAAAAAAATGTTTTCTAATAGAACAGTCACAAGAAACAATTTTATTTCTTAACTACATATTTTACAAATTTTTGGTTACATTGACCATGAAAATTAAAACCTAGCAAATACATGTACATCTATTATTTCATAAAATACTTGAAAATATAAATTGAAAGTGCATGTTCGATTCAATTTGCGTTTATTGAAATTATTCGAGTTCACGACTTTGTCAATTTCTATTTCAGGTTTATCTCTGGAATACGCATCTCGTGTTTCACTTGAGCAATGAATGTTATTATCACAATAAAACGTACGCAACAATTTCAGATAAAAAATATATTCTGAGTGCACGACCCATTAAGATGAAATCTATTTATTGAGAAATATTTGTTTTACGTTTATAAGTAAATTAAACAATAATATTTTTGCTAAAAACTAATACACAAAATATTAATTAATTCTTGGTAAAATTGGCCTTTGGTCCAAATGAAATAATGAAGATTTAAAAGTAAATAATATTTAATAAAAATATAAATTTCTTAAATCATACGTTCTTTCGCATGACATTAATTAGTGAGGTCAAATATTGTATTTACTGGAATGTTTATCAATTCAATTATTCATAATTTAACATTCGCACTTTAGAAATGCATGAGTTTTCATTATGTTATATGATGAAATTATAGTAGATCACAATTAAGAACTACCGAGTGAAGTCCAGAACTTCACTAAAATTTGTATAATTACGAAAGTTAAGTAACTTGAGTTTTTTGTTAGGTGATCGAACCCTTTGATCCTACACACATAGAATAATAGAAATTTGTTAAGACACCAACATGAACATTTTTTCAATAGCCTATTGAGTTTCATGGTATATGAATGAATAAATATAAAAAATGTTCATAAAACATTTCATTTAAATTCATCTGTAAAGTTGGTTATAATTAAGTTGTAGGCAACCCGTTTTACTTGTAAATGATTTTAATGTATTTTTGTTATAAGAAAGAATATTATAATTTTTAAATCACGTGTATATTAGACCAATATTTGATGTAATTATACGATAACGTTGAAAGCAGATTTTAGAATTTCAGGTAAGTTTAGATTTGTAGATTTTATTTATTTAGTTTGATTGCATTCTATTCCCTAATTCATTTAAACTATGTTTTTAATCTCTTATTTTATCTATAATTTAATCATCTTAAATATATGTATGTATGACATTATAATATGTCTTTACTTATATTTTCTGTGATATTATTACATTTTGTATCAACATATCATTGATCATTTCTGTTTTGAAAAAGTTTGTAGGATTTAAATGTTTAAAATGAAACTTATATAATCCAATAATGTGATATATTGTTCTATTTAAGGATATATAGTATAACACAATTATAATTGACTACTGTGAAATTGAATTTCCTTTGCACAAACTTAATTGAATGAACAATGAATGTATCCTTAATGATTTAATACTAAGATAAAACGGCAAGGTTGAAAATTCCTTTCATTTGTCAATTCACAGTACGGCCACCGAGTTGACCCTTCCATTTAACCTACTTTAACACGATCACGTTTATCTGCTGCATTTCTAAACCACAAAGAAGCAATGGATAATGCTTTAATCTCGAAAGTAAGGAATTATTTTTGAAATTAATTAACAAGTTCGAAAAAATGATACTTATATAAGTCGTTAATTACGTAATAACCATAAAAACTTTTAAAGATTAAAAAACAAAAGCGAATGACATAACTAACGTGTATGTTAAAACTTGCACGTAACGTTTTAAGAAATAATATGGTACTGGAAAATAACGGAACAATTTACATAAGTTTTATTTGTTTGTTTGTTATGCAAGTGCAAAATCCATAATTGATTCTCCAAGAAATAAAATGCATTGCATGTTACGTATCTTCTGAGAATAGACTGACGTGCAAGATGTTTTAGTATGAAATTAGGATTGATCTTAGCTTGCTTATTTTTTTCTACGGTATCAAATTATTGCGAAATGAATTTCAAATAGCTGTTTTTTTCTGTTAAGTGTAATATTATAGTAAAATTATTTTTTGAGTGTGGATTTATTTTATGAGTTTAGCAACAATAAATATTCAGCGTTTTGTTTCTGGTAAAAAGAAAATCGTAAAGATTAAGGAATAAAATGAATTGAAAAAGTTAGTAGAAAACTTTTCTTTTATTTATCGCTTGCAAATTCAGCAGTATTTTATTTTGATAAATAATATATATATAATGTTTGAATCAAATCATTTTGTACTCCTCTAATATACGTTTCACTATTTATGTTTATATATTATGTTAACATTAAACTGTTATTTTATTTTGGACGGTAATATTAGTATTTTATTAAACTGTACGTGATATTTAATTAAAATATAATAAATATTATAAGATTCTCTAGTGTAGGATAACATCTTGGAATTCATTTTATACCACCATAAAAAATAAATACCTATGTTGGAGAATTTTATTACAATTATTTTAAACAATTTCATTCAGAATTTTAACTACCAAAGAAACATGCTTATTAAAATATATTAAAAAAAGATTTATTAACAAATAAGGGCGGAAAGACTTAGGTCGATAGCCCTTTGGTTGCATTGTAACTAATAAAGATTATTATTATTATCACAAATAAAATCTAATCTTATAATAACTATTAAAAAATAAAATGTTTTTGGTATTTTTCCTAAGTCAGAAGAAAATACAAAATTCATCACATAACAATTTAGGGAGTTATTATAAAATCCAATGACAAATATAATACAGAATGATTGCTCAGAAAATGTAGTATTAATAACAATAAAATCAAATGTATATCCACATATCATATTTATAAAACAAAAGATATGTTTTTAGTCAGTTTGTATTTACAGTCTATTCAACGGAATATTTATCAAATTAACAAATTAGGAAGTTGCTGCCTAGTGCCACCATTCCAGAAGGTTGACCGCTAACGGGTTCGTATGCGAATCAAGCCTGTTCGTATATTTTTTTTAAGAAATCTTTGGCAACCTATTCTACTGTTTTTATTCAAAAGTCCTGGTCCGGGATTCTTCTAATACATTGGAATACTTCGATTTCTATAAGATTAGAGAGCTTGATGTTCCCCATAATTGGATACCATATGTCCAAACTGGTTTTAATATGACTCTGTACAATAGCAACGTGTTCTTCAAAGTAAACTGCGAATTTTTATGCAGCAACCAATACATCTTTTCAAATTTTATTTCTAGTTGTTCACGCTTTGTCTGGATATGGCCAAGTATCTCACCCTTGAAGATGCTGGAACTACTTTGTTGTTGAGTTTAATTGGAAGGCAGGTGACTCGTTTTAAGGTGAACGTAACATGCACCGATTTCGACTGGTTTATATTAATTCGCCATTTCCTGAACCATATATCGAGGTGTCGAGATGCAATTATGAGACTTTCGTCTGATGCCATGGTTGTTGTCTCATCAGCAACTGTTGCCATGTTTGTTTTCTCTGTTGTTTGTATATCTGTAGTGTATAATACATACAATTTGGCACCAACATATTAAAGTTAATATTGAAAATATCAGGTATAGTTTATTATTAGTATTTATCTACTAAGACCTTCTCAACAAAATAAGATCGGATTAAATACATCGCGATCACATTTAAGTATAAACTTGAAGTGTTCTATTATTAAAGTTATTACATAAGTCAACTTTACTTATAGACAAGCATACTACGATTGTGGTCCAAGCCTACTCTAATGATTATTTTTAAAGAAAACTATGACTTTAATTACAACTATCCTATCAACAAAAACTACCTAGTTATGTCGTTCTCAAACCACTCCTACATAAATTATACGCTTGTTTTATTGCAACAAATTATCATAATACAAACTTAACAAAATAACATAATAAGAAAAATAAAACAAATTGATTTGATGTAAAGGGCTACTGACCATAGGTCAATTAACATTTATTTTGTAAATAACAATAATAATACATAAATACAATTTTTTTTGAGACAAATTTTATTTTTTATGTTTATTTACAATAAAGATGTTTCACTGAACAACATTCTAATTGTATTCGCAAATAATGTTATGAATATTCAAATTGAAGATATTTTTTGGATAATCATAGCTGACTGTAATACAAATAGTTCTGCGGCAATGCGACGTGTTCGAATTGTATAAAATTGGATAGATCAGATATTTAATTGATTCGCAGAAAGGTAGATAACCGGAAATAAATGACGACGGTCAAGACATTAAAATGGATTTCGGGTGCAATTTCCGCTGAATATGAAGAGCGGTATGCCCTACCCCAGCGCCAAAAAGCATGACTCAATCGATCCGTTTCGAGCATTAAATTGTATTCTTCGTAGTGGATGGCCGTGAACCCGCGACCGGAATGTTCTTCAGCTCACACAAACACTCAGAATCCTATATGTGTATGAATACACACACATACAGACATATCAGAAAAGGCTCTTTGTGTGTACGTAGAGAAAGTTCACTTCGAACAAATTAATAAATAAAACGACTAACTGTAAAAGAAAACCGTGCAAGAAACCTTTTCAAAGATCGATAAGGGTAATTGATCTCTCAACGCCGCTGCGGTTAATTCAAATGCTTCATTTAACTAACAGTATTGGAAGATATTCCATGTGATTTATTTAATTTAAATTCAGAGGTGAAAGAAAGGATTACAATGTTGAGTGAGAATGGTATAATATAAGAAACAAACACGCGTTATGGAACTAAATTAGAACTTCAAATAAAGGAATACGCGGTTTTCTAATTTGAACAAAGTGTTAGCGCGTTTCGGTGTCGAGAATATATTGTTCTTGATGTTGACCGGAGAGATTACCACGTTGTGAAAATTGGTGGTTTAGAGATGCAGACGAGTTTGTGCTGGCGTATAGTAATGGGATGAGGAGAAACCGGTGGGTTAAGTAGCGGAGGGCAGAAGACGAAGGAGTAACACAGTGGATGAAGTGGGTGGTCACTGGCCGACCGGCGGATTGTGAGAAATAGCCGTGGTCGTTAAGACGTTCCTCTTAGGTGTCTGAAGTTATAGCCGCAAGCAGCCAGGAATTATAAATTCCACTTTATAACACAAGAAATGCACAGCGTCTGCTTTTCCTACTCCCGGGTCACTTGCTGCGTTTATATATCACCCAATTAAAATAAATCAAATTCCATTTCAGACCAAACGCTTAGAAACGTTTATTAACGTTATATATTTCACTATAACTAACGTCAAACATTTTTAAATTTATAAAAGTTATAGGTACTGATACATGACAATTCAAAAGAGAGAAGATATTCAACCGACTTCACTATACCAGAGAGTCATTCCCTATGCCAGTGTTTCCCAAACTTTCGACATCTGGGTACCCCTTCTATAATTTTCGGGGTACTCAACCCCTCGTCAAAAATATACTTTAATAACACTAAATAATAATTTATTCATAACAAAATATAAATAAAATAAATACAAGGTATATTATAAATAATATTCATGAGTAATGAGAAGAATGAAATTGTTTATGTTGAGACAACAGATACAAAAGCTTGTTTGTTTTTTTTTAACTTAATGTCTACAAATGCTGAAAAAGTAACTTCGGAAAAAGGAAAATGTATTTCAGGACTTTCACTGTTAAAACTAGATACACATGTTGCAATACACTCTTTAAGTGTATTTTTCAAGAATCTGTCTGGAGCTAATTCTAACAATTGCTCTTCTTGCAATAAATGTCGAATGGATATCTGATATGTTATCCATTGAATATTTTTTGTTAAAATCAGGCCCACTTATAAATTCTCTAAATGCTATGTTATACACTGAAGATAGCCAACGAACATCGGTATGAAAAAGAAGCTGAGTATGACTACTTCCCATTTGACGCTTCTACCCATAACTTTCTGTAGATCAGCGGGCATCGTGTTGCCAAAGCCTCTCTGTGAATGCAACAATTCGCAATATCAGTGAAATTATAATATTTTCCATTTCGGGCGTGTAAAAAAAACTGTACAGCGTACCCCCATCAAATACATAACATCAAGTACACAATAGACGTCATTCTATATTCAATTGTTTAAAAATATCTTCAACACTATTTTATCTTAACCAACCTAATTCGAGGATAGTTAAGAAATTATTGTCATTATTTATTTTTATAAAATACATTACTTGAATTTTAATTGTCATTATACATTTTCTTTATGTTGAAAAAAAAAATTATACATTTACATACAGTTAATGAAAAATAATATTATTTCTTTATTTCAAAGTTTGTATCTCTGGTAAGAATATATTTAAAATATTAACTTTGATGAGAACTATTAATTTTGTACATATTATTTTAATGTTTCTCATAGTTTATTTTTCCATTTATCGAATATGTCGTAAATCTCTTAATACTGTTTTATTAGTTATTTGAATCCATATTAGACATATTAGCAGTAAATTAAATTTACGTACTTTCTTTATAGATACAAATGGTTGACATATATTTACATGTATGCATTTGTTAAATATTTGTACCAACTAGAACTATTAGTTTAATCTAGATTGTAAAAATCTAGGTTCTAAGTTCATATTATAAAATAGTACATATATTTATTACATATATTATCAATATATGTTATAATGTAATACATTTTGATAGTAAAATTAGTCTCTTTCTATCAGTTTGTAACTCAACCAGACTGGACCTAAAAATTAATAAATATTATTATGAGTGATGCATGTAAATGTATAATGTTTATATTTTATGAATTTAACGGTGGGTCGGAACTTGAATTCAAATATTAGTATGCAACCGAAATTGTAAGTTCACTGTAAGGGAGTAACGGTATTTAAATTTACATAATTAAATGGAAATTATATTTTGTGTATGCAGACAAAATTTATAATCATGCATAAAGTGTTTACATGGTAATAATGTATATTAAAAATAAATGCATCTACATAATTTATAAAGAAATAATGCCATAAAATATAAAACTTTAGAATGTGGAATGATATATGTAATAGTTTTAAAAGAATGATATATTTATTTTTTGTATTTTATCGTAATGCCAGGAATTCGTAAATCATGAATAAACTATTTTTATTCTCAAAAAGTATAATATCTCGAAGATATAAGGTTTACTTTCACAAATGTAGTTGGTGAAATTTTTGATTAATTATTGAATCTGCATTGCGTATTTAAAGTTTATTTTTGTAATTAAGATTAGTTTAACAACCAGATTAAAATAAGTCTACTTAACTGATTGGCTAAATGTTATTTATTGAAAATAAATGTAAATTATAACTATATTTTCATAAACTATCATACAAAATAATACGATTAAAAAAATGTTATTATTCTTATATTGAAAATCAAGTATTTTATATTAGTCTAAATTAGATATACCATATAACATTCATGTTCCTTAGTATTGAACAAAATACAGATTTTTTATTAGTATACCAAGCTAATATTTATTTATTTACTATATATGATGCATATGACGGATGTAATTGATTCATTGTAAGAGTATATCACATCATTATTTATGTAACTATAAAAAACATTGGATTAATTACAATCTCTTTGCATTAAGCTATCAATAACATATTGAAATTTGATTCATTTATGAGCAAACCATATAAATTGTAAGGTTAATCTTTAAATGTAATATGAAAATCTAATCTTTCTTAATTAATTTATAAACTGAATATTATTCCAATTAGCCAAGACTTTGGTAGAAGTTTTGATTATTTAATTTATCCGTTTTTATTTTTATATCTTTTAAGTGAAAAAAACTATTGCATTTCACTAATAGAATACTACAATATATGTATATTTATAAATGTATAGTTCATTGATCGAAATGGAATAAAATAAGCAATGATTATAGAAATATTACATTTATACGTGTTTCTAAATTAATCATTATGATCTGAAATTATATGTAATAATTAAATTACATGGATGATGGCCGAACAAAATGATTTTTAACGCACGGCATTTCTGCTCTATAATTTCATTTTATAACTATTACCGTTTCGAGAAAATTGTTCTTCCACTCAAAATAATTTTTCGCCTCATAAATATTTATAGCTTAAGCAATTTTCAGTTATTATTACTATACGTTATTTGTATATATTTTTTATTAACCTAAAAAAGTATGAGTGGTTGAGTTTAAAATAAATTACTACAACAGATAAAATTGTTAAATTTTAATTTAAAAAAAAAATAATGCTAATAAATAGATTTAACATTAATCCTAATTATAATTGAGATCTGATTTATATTTCCTTTGAGCTTCTGTGCTGTAACGTGGAATTCGTTATAAACACAACATAAATTTTAATAACTGACAGCTGCTACAAAATGGTAATCTCGAGATTAAATTCTAGACTACTTTCTCCTTTGAATTACTTACTACATGCTTACCACCACCTCTTGTTTTACTCAGTCATTATATAAAGAACTATTTTCTTTATAAAAGATAAATGTGAACCAGATTCTTAAGGAGTGTGTTTGCACTTACATTCTATTAAAGTGC